TTGAAGGTCATTACTGACTATGAGGTGAGATTTGTTGTGTGAGACTAAATTGGTAGTGTTGACTTTGGGTAACTTAATGCAATTATGACCATTGTCTAAACTGTAGTGGAAACTATACGATTTAACTGTAGTGGACTAAACATTTCATAATGTGTTCTGTATTATGCAAATTTAAATTATTAACTGTTTATTTTTTGTCAATTTTAAGGCAAGAGAGGGCACTGCCTGTCACTTTCTTAATGTGCTGAAGGCAATTGAAGCTGATAGTCAGGTGGACGTTGTGGTGAAGGAAGCCTGTAGTCGAACACCATATAACATAGAGAGAGTTACATCCGATGGGTGATTCCCATATGCTTGGAAACTATTATAGATGTAATAATGTATGTAATGAAATAATAGACGTAATGATTGAGTGTGATGATTATGTGATAAAAAATTAATGTAAAAGCTTTTTACAAGTACTAGTTCATGCCCGTTAGGTGGTCAGAATTTATCACAAAAGATAAAAAATGTAAAAAAATAGCCCATGCAACGTGTCATGATCTGTAGAATGTTCCAAGGGCGCGTTTGTTTGGTCGGATCCACGGACCTCGATCCGATGGGTTCGCTGATCGGCCTGTTTGTTTGGTCGAATCCTTGATCTCGATCCACCAAACCCGACCCTGCCAGCGAGGAGGATTCGAACGGGATCCAATATGGCGGCCCGCGCCACAGCCAATCACAGCTTGTTCTTTGTCAAAATGGCGTCCAGTGGAAGCTCTTCGATGGATTTAGGATAACTTATTTGATTATTATGCTTTTTAACGATATTCCTATACTTGATAGTCATTATTATTACTATATTATGTTATGCGTGTGTCACCCAGATATTTTATTTTGTTGTATGTCGAGTACTAGTCCTACTGTGCTCTATCTAGGCCTACTGTGTAATAGCTCTCATACTATAGTGTAGTGGCCCTAGGGGTGACCAACTACGGTACGACAGGCGTTATATAGTTAACGCGCGTCCTAGTTGTTTGGATTCAGTGTTCGCTCCTGCAGGTATATTAGGCAGGACGGTGATGTCACGTAGCGGATAACAGGTAGCACCAGCTGAACAGAACACAGTGAGATTCTGTTCACTGTACGGTTATAACTTTATTGATTCCTACTAGTTAAATGTTAATAATTCCCCTGCAATCGTATATGCAGCGGATCCTATCACCACTAGATTAATATTGGAGAAGTAACGCATCGCCGGTTTCGTCTTTCTCTCTCACGTTCGTCCTCTCCTCGCGTAGACCTAGGCAGGTTGAGGTTGTCACCGGTCGTTGTCGTGTCTGTGTGTGGGTGTGTGTGTGTGTGTGTGCGCGCGCGCGTGTGTGTGCAATGGCTCATAGGAAACAATAGTTTCTAATTTTCTGAAAAGTTGTTTGTCGTTACGGTCGGTCCCTGTCGCTGCAGTTGGCCTTTACTACTACTAATACTAATACTACTACTACCACTATTACTGCTAAAGTACTAAAGTCTAGTAACATTTTTAGTTATTGGCAAACTGTTACTCTTCGTGGTGAAGATGGAATGGAAATAGACGTCACCGTACATGACGTCTCCGGCTGGAAGCAGGAGGTCAGTAG